CCAAGCTTCTCTTAGAAGCTTGGATCAAAAAGGCCAAGCTTCTAAGAGAAGCTAGGCAAAGGGGTCAAGAGGTTCAAGCTTCTTCAAGAAGCTTTAAAAAAGGGGTCAAGCTTCTTGGAGAAGCTAAAAAAAGGTCAAGCTTCTTGGAGAAGCTAAAAAAAGGGTCAAAATGTTCAAGCTTCTTGGAGAAGCTAAAAAAAGGTCAAGCTTCTTGGAGAAGCTAAAAAAAGGTTCAAAAGGGTCAAGCTCCCTCAAGAAAAGGTCTCGGTCAGGACAAGTGGCCGATTGATCAAAAACAGTGGCCGGCCGACCAAACACAATGCCGACTGACCATCAATAGTGCCGACCGGCCATCACCAATGGCCGGTGGCAAGGAAACAAGGCCGGTGGCCTCAAGCCATGGCCGGTGAGGTGTGAGGATGGCCTACAAGCTACTTCCCACCCTCAGAAGCAAAACAACAAGTGTTTGGTGCAAAACCAGACACAAAACAGTCGAGTCGAGAGATCCTGAGGCAGGGCGCGTAGCCGAGACCTCCAGGAACTCAAGACAAACACGAACAAGGATGATCACCGAGTGTTCAAACGGTGACGTCCAAGTCTTGAGGACGGTCAAAAATGGGGTGTCTACAGGTGGCCCTTGCGGCCCAACCTAAGATTGTACACCTAGAGCTTATATATTCACAAAAACTCTCTTCAAGTTTCAATGTGAGATAGCCCATATAAGGAAACCCACATTTAATTCTTGAATTTCTTCAATTCCACGAACCTGAAAACGACATCAAGTTTCCATTCACTCATAAATGGTTTGGACGAATCGTCTTTACCGTGTGACTTACCATGCGGCAAGGAACACATCACCTCTTCGGTCTCTTCCCAAAAAACATTTGGGGCCCACTCAATTTTGGGCTCAAAGTTTGCCCAAAATAAGCCTCATAAACCAAATTTTCCAACACATTCTCCATCATTGTATTAGTTTTTGGTGTTTTTTATTATACGTAATGGAATCACATTCACTAAGTTGCAATCCACCAATCATAGAACATTATAAGACAAAACTAAATTTATACTATTTGCAAAGTAACACTTCAAAATTAAAGTATAATAAGTTTGAGTGTCTCACAGGGTTTTAAAAGAAATAACTTAAAAGTAAAGTCGAATTATAAAACTATTTTAATTAACTTAGGGTTATTTTTATAAATTTTAAAAACTTAGGGCTTAACTTCTTCTTTATATATATAAGGGTAAATTACAAACACACCCTTTGAGATTTGTTCAAAGAGCGGATTGCAATATGTGATTTGGAAAATTATAAAAATCTCTTTGTAAGAATTTTTTTGTTTAATAGAATTAATTAAAAAATAAAATTCCTAACTATTCTCTTATATAATGATAAAATTCCCAAAATTAATAATTGAAATCAATATCTAATATCATTAAAAATTGTTAATTGACCTGATGATTTATTTATAAAAGGGATCATTGGTTATGAAATTAGAAATTTTAAGGGGCGGAGTGTAATTTCTAAAATTACAAGGACAAATATTTTAAATAAATCTCAAGAGATATTAGACTTTATTTTTTATTGTCTATCACAATAGATTATTTCTGAAGGTCTCTTGAAACTTTTCCTCATATATTTTTGAGAGACTTACATGTAGGTCCTATGATAATTAATGACATTTTCATCATACACTATTAAAAAAAGTTACTAATGATTAATTTTCAAAGACGGTTTGAAAATTATTACAAAAAATATCACTAAGTATAAGTTTTAACGACACTTTAAAAAATTGCCACAAAAAACACTAATTTTTAACTTTCAACGACAATTTAAAAAATTCATCACATAAAAATGTTACTAATTATAAGTTTTAGTGACAATTTTTAAAAATCGTGAAAAAATACTAATTGTTAACTTTGAGCGACATATATACAATCGTCATAAAAAATTATTTTTAGTAATGATTGTACTAAGACTTATTTTTAATATAACTTGATAGATTTTACTAAAACTTATTTTCAATATAATTTAATATGAATTAAATTCAACTATTAAAATTTATTGATAATTTATCCAATATTTTATTTTTATTTTTATTTTTTGGTTAAACTCTAGCACTTTTGATGGCATAATTATCGGAAGAAGAAAGTGCGCGGCTCCCCCTTGCGCGGAAGCTAAATTCAAACCAATCTTGGAAGTTGGAAGTAAAGTTTCCAAGTAAACTAAAGGAAGTTTCTAGTAAACTAGTAATCCAAAAAACTTGTCTACTGTCACTAAATGCTAAGCAATTATTTATGATTAGCTGTTTTTTTTATTTATGATTAGATGTTTTTTTTTTTTTTTTTTTAAGAAGTAGAAAAAAAAAATAATTTAGGGTTTATCGCTCGTAACAAAATAAATTAGGTTGAAATACTAATAAATTTCAAAATATAATTTTGTGAACTGCTTAGTTTTCTCTCTTTTTTTTTCTTATGAATTCAAAGGTCTCATTAAAATAAAAATTACACAAAAGAGTAGCCATTTATACATTTAGATTTAATTTTTAAGGGATAAAAGTGGATTTCTTCACATGTGAAATTACACATTTGGACAATCTGTACTATATAAGTTTTGGATTTTTTCTCATTTTGGAACAAATCCCACATTACGAACAAAAACATAACACTCCAATGTGACATCTTAAAAAATTTCTTAGTGTACTTTTTTCAAACGTAATAACATAATACTATAAAAAAACTCCTTAGTGTACTTTTTTCCAAACGTAGCACTTCAATCAATGTACGTAATTTCAAATGTATAACACACAAAAAATTAAAAAAATTATTTAGTGTATTTTTCCCAAATGTAAGAACGTAAAATTTCAAAAAAAATTTCTTATTATACCTTTTTTAAACGTAACGCCCAAAAAATTTTCTTAGTGTACTTTTTCCAAATGTAACACTCCAATCAATGTAATTCGAATTGTAGCACTCCAATGTAACATACACAAAAATACTAAAAAAAACTCCTTAGTGTACTTTTCTCAGACGTAATAACCTAACACTCCAAAAAAATACTTTAGTGTACTTTTTTCAAACGTAACACTTACAGCGATTCTGGTTTAGACCCGATCAGTTGATGTTTTGGATTCGGGTTTCATTGTCTCAGATAGTTATATGTCTTCTTCCATTTTATTCCTTGTTGAGTTTGGCTGTTGGAGTGTTTTGGGTGTGTTTGGAATAGGTTGGTAGCTTGTTAGTCCAAATTGTTGTTGCCTAGATTTTGGCTTCTTCACGCATCACTTCTTGCGCTCGAGTGGTAGTTGTAAACTCTCAGTACTTTTGCAGGCCTGTAGAGATACTAGGAGTTTGTATTCTTCGCTCGAGCAGCACTTCTTGTGCTTAAGTGGTGTTGGCTCGAGCAGTAGTCTTCTGTCTGCAAAACTTCTGAGAGTTTATATTCTTCACTTGAGCCGTAATTCCTATGCTCAAGCAGTCCTATGTTTTTGCATCTAGACGCTCGAGCGACACACTACTAAAATTAGAGCTTTTGCGACGGTTGTAAACATCGCAAAAGGTGCATATGACGTCGCAAAAGACTTTTTGTAACAGAATAGCAACGAGAAATGGGAGGTGGTGGAAGGAGGCGTGACAAAAGGTATTTGCGATGGTTACAAACTATCGCTTTCTTGTAGCGACGGTAAATTAATGGTTTTAGCGACGGTTTAACCTGACACAAAAAAGGAAAAAACATCTCTTTTAGCGACGGTTTAAGATGCTGTCACCAAAAACATTTTTAGAGACAGTAGTTGACGTCGTGAAAAGTATTAGTAGCGATGGTTTTAAGAGTCGCAAGAAAATAGAATTAAGTCAATAATGTATTTGTGACAGTTTAAACCATCGCTAAAGATGGCACTAATATGTATATGTAACAGGTTAACCCATCGCTAATAAAATGCAAAGAAATGGTGATTCCATTAGCGACGGTTTATTACTATAGCAAATTTTTTTTCATAAAATAAATATATATTTTATTAATTCATTCCCTGTACAAATTATTAATACACATCCACATTCACATTCACATTCACATTCACAAAATCATATGTACGAATAATTATATATATGTACCCTGTAACGATACAGTGTCAACCAAACATTATTTACAAAAATATATAACACATCCTCCAACAAAACTAATATTTTTTGATAATTCAAAAACTCAAATTTGTATATAAAACAAAACCAAAGTATCGACAATACAAATAAAATATATATATATTAACAGCTTGTTTTAGTATCAACAGTAAGCTCCAATATCGATATACGAAGATATCATCACATACTCAAAAGGGTGATATCAGCAAAAAGAAAAAAAAAATTATAATATAATTAATTTCAAGCTTGCAAAATGTGTAAAACATTCGATATATATTTCATAAAATAAATAATTAATTAAAATTGCAACATATACATAAATCAAACGCCACACAATGTATTTGCCAAGAGTTTCTCTAATTGTTCTTTGAAAAATAATTTCTAAAGGACAAGTTTTCACAAATGGAACTTATGCTCCAGATTCAAAATCAGGACTCGATTTTGAGTCCCGTCTTTTCCTACAAGTCATTTGTGCCTAGTTAGTAGTCTGTGTTAAGTTTTATTGACATCCGACGCCGTTTGACCGATTTAGTATGTCAATCGGTTCGGAAATTTTTTTTCAAAAGAACAAGTTTTCACAAATAGAAATTAGGCTCTGGATTCAAAACTGGGATTGGTTTTGAGCCCCGTCTTTTCCTACAAGTCATTTGTTCCTAGTTAGTCGTGTGTGTCAAATTTCGTTGACATTTGATGTTGTTTAACCATTTTAGTGTGTCAACCGGTTCAGAAAACAAAAGTTAAAAGTACTTCAGCTATTTTTGCCTCAAAAGCTGCATCAACACTCGAGCAAACTTTCAAAAAAAATAAATAAAATAAATAAATAAACTATTAAGTAGCTCCATAAGCTAAACCAAACCCCTAAATCAACGAACCTTATAACCTTTTGGAGCAGAAGTAAGGGCACAGACGGTGAGGTAACCGTTAGTTTGCCCCAAGAATGGTGAGAGCAATATCATCCAGCCCTGGCTTCCATATTTGGCCATGAAATAGAATGCTGGGATGAGTTTTAAGAAAATACAAATGACAATTGGTTAGCCAACTTAGGTTAGTAGATTTTCAATCTATTCTTGAAAAGATTGTCATCTAAAACAGTTACCATAGTATTCCTAATTCAAGTGTAAAAATTGTAGCTCAGTGCACACGTGAGGAATCTGAGTAAAATTAGAAAGGTAGTAAAACATAGAAAATGAAAAATGGCACGGACGAATTTGAAGTCTTGGGGTAATAACCTTAAGGTTATGGACTCAAGTCTTCAGGCCACCATTTTGTACATTATGCCAAAGGTTAGGTGTGTACTCAATCTTTCCCCACCTAAACACACATTAATGTGTACTAATTGGGCGTTGTTTTCTATATAGTTCTTTCATTGATATCTAGAAGAAAAAATAAGATTTATTTCTTAAAATGATTGATGTTACTAAAACACCAGCAGCCATATCCCATGGTTTTAGACGATATTCCCAATATGCTTCTACAATTCCCAAAGCTACATGGCATATATCCACTGCAGCAGCACCAAGCCTTCTCACGCCCTACACATATAAATGTCAAAATGAAGAGAGGGATTACAAACAAAATCTTCCACCCCTATCTATGATGTAAGAAGTAAAGCAAGTTATCTGTAAAGCAAGTGAAAGACAATGATTATTACCTGGCTGGCATCAGTAAATTCTTTGAATAATTCTATGTTGGTACTCCATGCATCGTCATGTTCATACCCAAATCCAGTAACTAGAAGTGATTGCTCCACCTAAGAAAACAAGTGAAAAAGGTGAGCTTAAATAAAATAAAATAAAAAATTCAACTTTTAGCTCTAAACCACCACACTTTTACACAATTTTTTTCAATGTGATCCATTTCCAAAAGTAGAAGGAACATGATTAATTTTATAGATAGATAAGAAGTGAAATATACACAAGCATTTGAACTGTCTTGTAATAAAGTCTGTTGTTGTCAATACCTTTTTCTCGGTTCCTTTTCCTTGCATAAACTGAGCTTGGGGAAGGAATTGATAGGAGGGACTTACAATGTGCTCAGAAATCCATAATGGAGTCAAATCACAAGGTCTGAAAGTATGTAAAGTTTACGAAAAAATTCCTCGAGTCTAAACGCCATAAAATAGGGAGTGTTGTTGGGCACATCCTCAACCAACCTCTCTTCCACATCCACCACCAACAAAAAAACGGTCTTATTGAAAGTCACCTATTGAATAAAACATTATAGTCTAGATATAACGTGATCACTCACCTTAGCGATATGACTCACTTGAATCATTTGCCAATTACAAAAAGCACCCCCACCTAGAATAAAGAGTAACAAATATTAAGTCAGAACTTTATATTTCAATTTTCGTATGTAAAAGAGCTTGTTATATAATTGCTTAGATAAAACCTTCTTACTAGTAGCTATAGAAAGCGTGCGTGTATTCTGACACATAGGGCCTCCAACAAGTTCTACCTTAAACACAAACCAATTGTCACCCCTTCAAGTCAGAAACAGAGAAACTCATTCACTCTTGATCTTTGAAGAAATAATTGGACAAGAACTACTTCAAAAATTAGTTGAGTTGAGTTCAATGCCATAAAAATAGAAAATGAAAAGGTTTATGAAACTATGTTTTATATTCTAATTAACACATCAACCAGGGAAACCATCATTTAGTATAACAACTTCAATGACCAATTAATTTACATATCAAATTTCAATCCGATGGACCGTTACAGAATTATGCAAATTCTTTTTGGAGACTATAAAGGTAAGTGATTATATACCACAGCACCAATAGCCGACTTTTCTGTATATAAAACTCCCATAGAGACTGCAAAGCTAGGGTAGCAATATGCAAAATTTGTTGTCCTATCTATATAGATATAAAAGGCAAATGGCCTTACGTCAGAAAACTAGCTGCAAATATAAGAAGTAAATGTAGAAAAGTGAAGAAGCACATTCAAGAAGGTAGAAGATAACATATTTCAATATGAAGGAATTATCAGCATTCATAATGAGGTAACATTACGGGTCAGCATCTACTTTGAATTGAGAAAAGTTGTCATTATCAAAAAAATAAATGGGAAATAGAAACTAGAAATGTGGTCCATAATTCGTAGGAAATAAAAAATGCTATGTGATGGATATAAGATCGAACAAAATATGTAAAAGACAAATTATAAGGAACTTTTAAAATAGGGTGTGGAAGAAATTATTGAATTGGGATTGGGAGAAGGGAAGGGTGTTGAAGAAAAAAAAAAAAAGATTTTCTTACATATAAATCAACCAGACACCTTATATATTGCTCTTCAGAAGTAGCTCATTTCCATATTTTTTAGTCATTAAAATTTCCTCTCCAGAATTTTTATTCATATACAAAGATTACAGAATTCAATCTAAAAAATGCAACTGAAGTGCATTCCTACACTCCGAAAAAGACAACAAGAAACAAAAAGTTACTGCCAATAAGTTAGTCTTGTGGCTTAGAATTTTGAGAAGCCTAATAAGTTTCAAAAGGAACAAAAAAAAAAAAAAGGTTATGCAAGTTATCTAATTTGACCACACAAATTCTGATATATAATTGAAAATGAATCAATAAGTTCTAGCAAACAATATTAAAATCATGTCAAGTTGTAAAAGTTTTACGATAGTAACATTGCTAAACAATTCACAAGTAGTTTAGACAAGTATAATTCTAGAATCAAGAGTTGAGTTCCAATTGAGGAACTTGGTGAATATGTACACATAATCATAATTACCAAAGGGTTAAGAGAGTCTAACCTAAGGGATCTATGCACCAAAGATAATTAGAAGATGAATTGCCAATAAGCCCTCCCTCTTCTCCAAGAATAAGGTGATCTTTGATTAGATGTACACAGATTGAACTTGCAGAGACGGTTAAAATGACAATTAAGTAATAATATTATATTTGAGACACAAATTGAACTTGACAAAGCCAATATTCTCAAGCTGTTGAACAACTTACCGGCGATATCAGTGGTTAGTTTGCTATTGCAGAACCTTCCAGTTGGTTTATGATTGATGAAGTCTCTGCCATAATGTGGGAAATTAGCTTTGAAAATGATGTGAATATGGTCATTGTTCCCAACATCTACTGCAGAATCACCAAATGTTAAGATTGATGGAACAAGAGTTGTTGAATTTTGGGCATCCCCACCATTGATTGCAAAGGCCAATGCAATAATAAAAAACAATGTCCCTTTCAATATCAAGTAGTTGTTGCTGATACCTATAGCTAGTTTTTTGTGCTCCTCAAGGGGGTTTAGTCTCCTCGGATACGATAGTCCTACAATTCGGACTCTCGTGGTTTTGAATATTGTTTCACAAGTGCAGTGTGAAATAGAAAAACACAAAAGAGTCCAAATCTGGCAAATCTTTGTAAAATCGATTAAAAATATAAAAATGCCAAAAATGGAATGAATTTCCAGATTTTAGAGTCGCCACCTAAATATTTTTGAAAAATTTAGGAAACTCGTAACTTGTGACAAAGGCCACTTGTCCGTCATCACCAAAGCGTCTCGGCTCATGAACTTAGGTATGAGAGGGGAAGGTCATGAATTGAGCGCTCCACTCACCTGATCAAAGATCAGCCTCTACTAATCATGATGTATTTTTTAGGTACAGTATATGCACTTGTTTCGATTATTATGTTATCTTTATTATGTGATGCACACAAGTATAGACTAATTCGCCCAATTTGGAACGTTTTGATTTCATATTTGTTTGAAAAGAGTTTTGAATATGTGCTACTTGAAAAGTAAGCTCACCTTTATATTAATCACATCATCCCAACTTAAGCGAAAAGGCCTTCATCCATAGGCATTCAAAGAGATATATATCAAATAAGCACTTAGCCTCATGGTAATATGCTTGATATGGAAACACAAACATATATACGCAATATGCTAAAGCAAGAAATGCTCACGTAATACTCAACCGACGCAAGCCAAAATAGAAGAAAGTAGTTAGAAAGATGCATGCTCTAATTATGCAAATGACTAATGCAATACATACAAAATGCAACTACGAGGTTTGGTTTATTAACATGTCATATGACTCAACTCAAAGCATATGATAGCACATGTATTCATGGAAGTAAGAAATGACAACAATGTTAGAATGATGAACCGAACTAGATGCATGCAAAATGGATATTTTACACATAGTAATGATATGAAATCAAAATATGATACTACATGCAATCTACCATAAGCGAGTAACTAAAAGAAAGAAAGAATGGGGGTTCGAAGACGTACACAATATTACAATTTTGCCTTCATGCTAGAGGGTCTGAATAAATGTCCTAATTAGCTAAATATTACAAATGCCAAATCAATGAATATAAGCTAAGTTTAACTAATCATACTAATTCAAAGGAATTTAATTACTTAATTACAAAACACTAATTACTCTAAGGGCTACAAGCTAATGAAATCGAACGAGAGTAAAAAAACCACACGTGCAACCAAGAACATCCTCTGGGAAACTCCTCTATTTTGCTGCTGGATTCTGTTCTGTTTGCAGTCAGAAGATTAATTAGTTTTTGCCCCAGCTTCTGCTCTGTTCTATCATGAAAATGACACTACCTACCTAAAATGGAGTGGCCGGCCGGCTGACCACTGTTTTGAGGTTCTGCCCTACTGTAATAAAATGGAAACAGAGCAAAAACAGAGTATTTCTAGGGGATGTTTATCCTCTCCGTCTCTTCCTATAATGAAACTGATCAAGGGAGGAGTAGAGTCAGTTCACAAATCATCGATTCTTGCAAAGTTGTTGCTTGATGATCTATGAACCAATGGGACAAAATGATCAATGAAATGAAATGAAAGAGCAACAACACCTCTTTCCTATCATCGAGTTACCTCAAGGGAAGTAGTAGATATCGCTTCTCAAATCATTAACATCACTAAAGAGTATGCAATGACTCGAGACACGATAGGTTCAATTAACGTCCGATTGAACCCAACTTGATTTTATTACTCTTGTTACCACTTTTAGTCCAATTTTAACCTCTTTTACATTACCTCACCATTCTTTATTCATTTTTTCAAAAAATGATAATTACGTCCACTAATTAAGAGAAGTGGCAAACAAGAAATTGCACTTAGCATGAGAGAGATGCAATGCCTTGGTACTGAACCTCGGAAGAGATTAAACCATTAAGCATGGAAGGTCCCTTTCTCATGCCTTGAGCAATAATTGATTGTTTGAAACAACTCTTAAAGAAAAAGAAGAAAGAAAACCAAGAAAGGAGGGAGGTTGCAGAAATGATTATTACAAGTGTGAGTATATGTATAAAAACTATGAAATAAAATCTATCAGCTCAAATAGGTTGGTGTCTAAGGCCTAAACCACCAAACCTATGACGACTTACAACAACATAAGCATATTATTCAAAGAATGAATGAAGTAAACACACCAAAACAGTCCCAAAACTCATAAAACAGTGTTGGAAAATTAGTTTGAAAAGCTAAAAAAGTGAACAAAAATGAGAGAGAATTAAAGCTAGTAAGTAAGCCCAAGGAAGGGTGGCTAGCCCCTCCATTTTTTTGGACCATAAAACCACATGTTTTAGCCTATGGGAAACAAGTGGGAAACACAAGGATTAAAGCTCATGGAATAAGGTTCAAGAACGGGTAGTTAATCCTTCCACCTTTGGTAGCTTTAAATCACAAGTTTTAGCCCACCAAAAAACAGTTCAAAATAGTATAGAAAACTAAGAAAAAGATGGGAGAAAAAAGTAAGCAAAAGATGGAAAGAGTTATACCTTTGAAGAGAAGACACTCTTTTATTCACAAGGTGCTCACTCTTAAGGGCTGGTATTTTAGCTCAATAATCTTAGCAAGAAGCCTCAAAATATTGGTTTAGGAAGTGTATGTATATTGCAAGATAAAGAAAGGGGGTGTTTGGCAAGTTTTTGGCTCTTTGAGAATTTGTCTAACCTAAAACCATGAGGGATGGTCAAGTATTTATAGAAACACAGGTTCCTTTCTTGAAATATCTGTATTGAAGTAGCTAGTGCAATGCATGCATATGGGGGGACAACTGGTAGCAAAATATTTGCTAGCCGAGAAACTTGGCCGGCCGGCCATGTAGGGAGACGGCCGGCCACTAAGTGGGTAGGCTAGAAAAAAAACTAGGTTTTGGTCCAAAGGGGGTGCAACATTTTGGGCTCTGAAACTCAAAATTGAGGCTTCTTGCTGAAGAAATTGAACGTTTGTACATTGTATTATGTAATCATCGAGTGTTCACTCTGAGGCGTCCAAGTCTTAAGGGTGGTCTAAAATGTGGTGTCTACAATACCCATATTTTATAGGAATGGTGTGTTTTGAGGCTGATTCGAGCGAGGGTTATGTTATGTTATGTTATGATCTTTCATAACCAGCAGAAAAGCTACTAACCAAAAAAACCCAAAAATTATCATGAGTCAAGAAGAACATGTGATTTTGTGCCTATCTAATAGTACACTCTTATTTTTCAATTTTTTCTTCTTAGTAGGGTCATGTAATTCTTTAGATCTCTTCTATTGGTTGGGTACATTACCAACGCAAAATTCTCGTAACACATGATATAATTATTCAAAAAAAAAAAGTCTTGAAAATTTCCTCAAAATAATAGTGGGTTTTCAATTTTTTCTTCTTAGTAGGGTCATGTAATTCTTTAGATCTCTTCTATTGGTTGGGTACATTACCAACGCAAAATTCTCGTAACACATGATATAATTATTCAAAAAAAAAAAAAGTCTTGAAAATTTCCTCAAAATAATAGTGGGTGGCGTAGATTGAATTTTGTATAATAGGACCCATGTTGGAAATGCATCTTAACCATTAAATGCTATTTTTTGGTATTTTTTTGGGTAAATATTATAAGTTTCTAGTGTTGCTTATAATCAGTAGAAAAATTATCAACCCAGAAAAGCAGTCCAGAGAATTTACCCAAAACAATAGTGGATGGTGTAGATTGAATTTTGGACAATTGATTCCTTTGTAATGCATCTTAACCATTGAATATCTTTCTCAGTATTTTTCTAGGTAAATATTGTGAGTTCCTAACATTGTTACTTATATAATAAAATCAAAATGAGGATGTGAATGAGAATAATATCTCATGCTCAAGATAAGTATCTAATAATAGTTAATGGAGTCTTGGAAGTAGACAAATAGCATTAAAAACAAGTGATGTTTCGAGACTACTAAATAATTTTGATTTAAACTGATATCTGTCAAATTTTTTAGTAGTATTAAATGAAAATCATAGTTATGAATTTTTGTTCTTCTAATTAATAAAAGAAGAAAAAGTCATTGCGGGATTATTAAATGATGCATTGGGAGTTGCAGCAACGAGAATAGTTGCCTACATATCACAAATTTCAAATTATCTAATGCATGTTGGAACATCTGTAATCTGTCCAATACCTAGGGCTTACAGTCAAGTAGGGAACAAGCACATAAAAAGAAGAAAAAAAAAATGCATAGAGTCAAGTAGGGAACAAACTAATTTCACACTACGCAAAATAACAAAATTGGCAAGAACAAAACTAGATCAAACATCAAAAAATGAAACAAATTAATCACGTTAAACAATACACAATAGAACAAACCAAGGGATGATAAGATACATCTATTGAGATTGAAGGGACAAAATGAATTCTGAATAGAAAACATAATTGGAAATTCTATATATTCCAGTTTGGGAAGGTAACCTCCTCAACTTGCTTGCTTTGATACCTTAGTAACATTCGTAGACAGATGTTATAAAAATTCTGTTGGTATTAAAACAACAACCAAAAAAAAAAAACATAAAAAAAAAAGAGGGGAAGAGAAGAGAAGAGAGCAAGGCAAGGCATGGTAGCAGGGCTAATAGCTAATATTTCATACTTCCTAGCATATTAAAGAGGTCAGCACACTTTGCTCATCGGCTCAATGGATAACACATGAAGCTTCAAAATAACTACAACAAGGAAATATACATAGAATATGTATAAAGACTCAATTAGCCATAATCTTGCCAAAAACACTGACCTCTGCATAAATGGAGAGCTTTATAATAATTATAACAATCAGGAGAAAACTGTAGCTTGCAAAACCCACAAATACTCACTCAAGGGCTTCCATGTCATGGGATTGCAAGCTTAATTTTAGAACCATAAAAGCCTCAAACAAGATAAAGGTAAATGAACCACCACTTTCCTATACAATAAACATGCACTGACTGATTCACATGACGTATATTACTACCATTTCAGAGTTTGTTCATGTATGTTCGATGAGGTGTTTTTTTCATAATCCCCAACACATATTCATTTTATGAAAATTAATTAACCGCCCTATTGGAAGAGTTTTTCGTAATCCCTACCACATATCCTTATACAAAAATGTATTTGAAAGAGGCATTTCGTCAAGCACCTGGTGGGTGGACAACGATTCCCCCAACATAGAATCAATGACGGAGACCCCAAGGCAGTAGCTTTGAAGATTACAACTCTCATTCTCTTTGCGTTTATTAATATTATTGTAAAGGAAAGGTTTATTGAATTGGGTTGTGGGAACAAATGTTAGTTTAATAGTTTTAGAGAAGGCATGCTGTAAGTGTATAGTCTGTATTATTTGCGTAGATACAAATATCGAATGCAAAATTCTTAAATCAAAACTGAGAGAAGAGAGAGAGTCATTACCTTTAAACTCTAGGGTTTTCCGAGGAATTAAAAGAGAGATGAAAATAGATAAGTGCAAACTGCAAATAAATATACAAATTTTGGATGCAATACCTTGAGAGGTACTGATTGAACGCTGAAGAATCCTAAAGCTCTTAGAGAGGTGATATCCATGTACTGACCGAGATCGATGGCGAGATTGAGAGAGAGTAGGAGACGATGTCAGCTTAGTGAAGGTGGATCAACAAACTAATGCCGGTGGGGGTGAACTCATAGTTGAAAGATGGAGAGAGAGAGAGAGAGAGAGGGTAAAACGAAAATATCAAAGCCACCAAGCGTTTGAGAATATGGGACTTTTGGGTGTTTTGTGGCTATTAGCGATGGCGCAATGATGTCCATCACAAAACAAAAATTAAAAAAAAATATTTTTTGTCGGGAGGGAAGAACCATCGCAAAAAATAAGCCTTTGACAACCACCATAGGTTTGCTGTTGCAAAAATCATTGAACATATGCTTCCTCTTTTTTGAGAAAAAAATTGCCATCGCAATAAGTGGCCATTGGCAATGAAATATTAACCGTCGCAAAAAGCAGTTTTTTGCGACGACAACGTATGTCGTCGCAAAAAGTTCTGTGTCATATACCCCTTTTTCTAGTAGTGACACTTCTTGCGTTCGAGCAGTTTGCCCGTATATCAGGTCGTAAAGTTCACTTTTTGAGTCACTTTTTCACATCTCTCTCTCTCTCTCTCTCTAAATCTTAGATCTACTCTCTCTTTCTCTAGAAATCGTCTTTAAACTTCAAACACACGTTGATCTACCTATTTCTACACCCTAGTCCATTCATTAAAAAGAGAGAGCACGTTGAGGGCTTTGTTTTAATCTTTGAAGTTTATGTTTTCGGCTCCGTTGAGTTCTACCCATCTCTTCTTTGGATCTTCTTCTTGAGGTAGGGATTATTCACACTTTCTTATGATTTTTAACTTGGTTATTTGCTTTTTCTAAAACAATATTGTGATTTGGGGATTTTGAACAAACCTAGGATTTTGGTTTAAAAATCAAAAGAAGGATTTTTCAAATGGTTTCTTGAAATTGGTTGTGGGACTAGAAATGAGGTTGTGTTGTAATAAAATGGTTGGTTTTGATAGGTGGAATTTAGTTTGGAAGAAAATAGGGTTTTGTCCTAAATACATCAAATGTTGATTTTGTATAAATTATGAAATCGATGTTGGAAATGTGCAATTGGATTGGTATTGATGAGGATGGTGGAGTTGGATATGCATTACCACTCATATCTTGGAAATTTAGAAAGTTTATCTTTATGAAATTTATTTATATGTCTAGAGATATCTGTTTTGAGCTATCGGTAGAGGATAGTTATGATTGTTGTAGAAATTGCATAAGATTTAGGAGAATTGTAACTATTTTCCTCATCCATTACACTGAGCATTGTTGCATATTTAACACATTGGAAATATTGTTGTTTTGAGAAAAAGAGGTAAATGCATTGGTGAATCTGGATAGGAGTGTAGTTGTGATATTAAATTGGCCCATGTGTCCTTGGTGAAAGACCAGAAACCTACGCGGATAGGTGTTGAGTCTTCCGGTTAATACCGGTAAAAATGACAATTTGGTAGCATTTGTAGCCTACTTGCAGACACGTCCATTCACAGTGTTGTATTTATTGGCCTATTTTCTATTGTAAATGAAATGATTTCATGAATTGTGATATAAACCTGGCATTGCATGGTTTTTGGAAAGATATATAAAATGTTTTGGCACAAGCATTGCATATGCATTCATGTTATATCTTTGTTAAGATTCATAAACTGTGTTGGATTTCTTTTACTGGGCTTTGGCTCACACTATGTGAGAAAAACTATTTTTAAGTGCTGATGATATGCCTCTGCCAAGGCAATAGCTTGGGAGGACTTGGAAGTAAGAGTTTCACTTTGTTTAATTTGTTGTATTTGTTTTGCACAAATCTAGGGCTTTAATTGTATTGGATTTAAATCCATTTTGTTGTAACCAAGCATTGACCCTGTATGGTAGGACTTATTTCTAGCTTATTTCAGCTTTTAGCTTAATTTAAGTTATTTTGATGTGTTTGGTTCAGCTTAACAATACAACTTATACCTTTTTGTAACTCAAAAATCAACTTATTCTTTGAGTGGGGGAGGAGAAGCTTAATTTATAAGTCAAAAATCAGTTTATGTTCACAATTATAAACTATAAGCTGTTAAGGTATAAGCTATAGTCACTTTCCCACAGCTCTACCAAACGGGGCCATTGTCTTAGAAAGTTGTAAGCTTTTAAGGAATTTCTTAATTATTTAACTTGTATTTCATATCTTTAACATGTAACACACTATAAATTTCATGGTTAGAGCTTATGAATGTATAACTACATGTGTTATCTTTTGTACTATGAAACCATATGGACTGGATGCGACACTATATTCAGAATGGTATGATTATTTATTAATATTGTGAATGGTTTTATTATAATTATTCTGGGATGTTACAAAACTCCAATCAATGCAATTCCAAGCGTAATACTCTAATGTAACACACTAAAAAAAAATTAAAAAATTAAAAAAAATTAGATAACTCCTTAGTGTATTTTTTTCCAAACGTAACACTTACAGTTTGAAATTATACATTTACCCAAAGCTTATTAACGAATTTTTTTTTACTCCTTTTGGAATGGTTTGAAAAATCCCACATCCTTTTGTAATGGTTTGAATAAACCAACATCCTTTTTTTTGGAGTGTTATGTTTTGAAAAAGTACATTAGGGGATTTTTTGTGTTGGAGTGTTACACTAAGAAGTTTTTTTTGGAGTGTTTAGTGTTACATTGGAGTGCTACGTTTGAGTGTTACAGTTTGAAATTATACATTTGTCCAAAACTTACTAAGAAGTTTTTGTACCCCATTTAAAATATTTGAAGAATTTCACATCCTTTTGTAATGTTTGAAAAATCTCATATTTCAAATCATTTTTGTATTTCTTTTGAAATGTTTTCCAAACAAAAAAAGATTACCTTATAAAAATTCATCCCAAATTTGATTCCTATAGATTATGTATCTTACCTTTCTAGCACAAAAGAAAAAAAAAGGAAAAAAAGAAAAAAGAAAGAAATATAATAGAAATAAGAGTATAATCGTCAACCTAATTTCCAAATAATATACTAAATCTGTCTTTCCAAAATCAATGAGATTAATTAGTTTATAAGAAAATCATTAGGACTAAATGAATCACCATTTTCTCATGATGGGATTTATAGGTAAATTTCCCAATAAATTATCATTTTTTAATTTTGTCAATTTAAATACTAATTTTTTGATTTATTTTGAATATAAACCATTTATCTCTATGTCTCCCTCTCTTTGCCTTAGTGTGTGTTTGTTCTTAGTTTTGCATTCAAACACCTAGTGTTACACCTTACCTTGGCTACTGAGGTGCTATGGAGTCATTTTCAGAGTTTTGGAGCTGGTTTGAACCTAAGGAGGCTGCCGGTCTTCCATTTTTGAAGAGGGTCTACAAGGGTAACAACTTTTCCCCTTTATTTCCCATTTTTGCATAGCCTTTTTACCAATCTTGCACCTATTTTTAGGCTTTGTGTATAACATATAAAAGTCTTGTTTTCACATGCCTAAAATAGTTGTTTAAGGTTGCTTTGAGTTTTGGGGTTGTTTGACCCCTCTTAGGGTTTGTTTGGCCCCCATTTTGTGCTATTTTGGTGAGCTCCGGGACCACCTTGTTTGGGCCTCCTCACCACTGAAATCTTGAGGGATTTCAGTGGTGAGGATGGTGGTTTAAGGTCCTAAGAAGGAGAGGGCCACCCCCTCTCCTTGTTGTCCTTGAAAAGGGCCATTTTAGCCTCATGTGTGAGTACCATTTTTAAGTGCATTTTGGCCATGTCTTAGTTGTTATTTATGCTTATTTTGTCATAATATAGCACTATTTTTACATGGTTTAGACACACCATGCTTGCCTTGCATACATGTCTTGTAATACCGTGATTTGCCTTAACATGTGCCTAGCATTTAGCCTATTATGCTTACTTGTTTTGGCCTAGCTTTGCGAAGCTTTTGTGCTTGTTTTAGCATGCTTAAGTTCTGTTTTTGGTTGTTTTGGTCGACCATGACATGCCTAGTATAGCCACCTTGCATTTTTGGCTTGTTAGCCTTGGGTGTGTGAGTGTGGAGCATGCTTTACTTGCTTTGTTTCAGTGGTTTGGAACCATTTGCCATGTCATTTCAGTCCTCATGGTATGCTTGAATGCTTACATTTGATGCCCCTTTAATGTGTTAAGAGGTTGGTGTTTCATGCTTTATGTTTGTGCTATTGTGTATGCCTCTAGGATTAGGTCATTTAGATGCCATCTAAGTGGTTCTTAGGGCTTACTTTTGCATGATTTAAGACTGTTTTGGTTCATTTTGGTCATTTGCTTCATGTGTCATATGATCATGTTTTAAGTCCTTGGGCTTGGTTGCATGCCTAGCTTGCTTGGTTTAGGTTGGTTTGGCACCATCCTCCTGTGATTTTCAGAGCTTATATTGCTTGACATATGCCCATGTTTAGCCTCTTTTAAGTGTGCTTAGAAGCTGCTCTTTGATGCCTAAGTGATGGACCATGTTTGTATGCATGCTTGTATGTGCATTTCGCCCCCAATTCCTTAGCATTGGCCACTGTTTTGGGCCTAGTTGGGGGCTGCCCAAATTGGTTTAAGTCCATCATTTATGTGTTGTTGCATGTTTAGGTTGTTTAACATGTTGCTACATGTTTACCCCATGTGTTGTTGCATGATTGAATGAAGTCACATGCTTGCTTTGCATGTTGATCATTAGCATAGTTATTACATGCTTGCATGCTTGCTAGCTTAGGTTGTGTGCCTAGCATACTTGTCTTCATGTTCATATTGCATGCCTAGTTCGCATGCCTAGGTTGCATTGCATTGGCATGCATGCCTTGCCTCTTGATCAAGTGATTAAGGTTGGGCCATTTGTTTGTTTAAGTGCATTTCATTCGACATTGAAATGGCATACTTGGTTCCTTGGGCCATCATGCATTGAAATGCGCGATTGGTGGTCCGAGAATCGAGTACCATACCCCTTTGAGTCATAAACATTCGGTGCAAACATTGCTTGAAATGCATTGCCATGCCATGTTTTGCCCTCTGCTACTGTCAAAACAGGTTTCTGCAGAAAGCTTTGGTGGGCCGGCCATCTACACTACCGACCAACCAAATATTTGTGGCCGAGAGCTCAACAAATGGTCGATGACCATCCGGACATGGTCGGTGAGGTTTCCACTTGGTCGGTGGTGATCCACAGTGTCCATGGAGCATACCTTGGGAGTTGTGCAATTTTCAGAGGAGCAGGGCAGGGGAAACAGAGGCAAACTTGTGCATGGTGGTGGGTTTCCGAGCGGAACCAAGCGCGCATACATTGGGCCCTCTTCCCGAGGCTGCTTTTACTGC